GAATTGAATAAAGAATAAATGTGTTTATTTTTCTAGGTGTGTTCTTCTCTGAGCAAAGGATCTTTAAAACGTCTCTCTGTGCTCAACATGTCAAAAACKGTTTTCTCTCACAGGTGAGCTGTTAGTTTCATGAATCAGACAGGAAATGATTCACGATCCTGTCAGAAAAATCTGCAGCTTTGTTGTTACTAAAGAAGAAAAAGATTACTAAATTAAATTTAAGATGCTATGTAGTGTTTAGTGAAGCGACTGTGTGATTATTTCTGTTTTGTTCTTGTTTTCAGATTGTTTTTCTTTCTCAAATATGGAGATTGTTTTGAGTTGAAGTTATTTGTTTGAAGTTGTTTTTAATAAGGAGCAGATRTAAGATTTTTTTCTGCACCTTTTTCATTGAATAATTGATTTGCTTTTTCTTTTTTTGCTTTCTTAATGATCCTTTCATTAATTTATTTCATTCTGAAAATCAACAAACTAAAGTAAAGTAAATTGTTATCAGACATTTATATTTGTTTTCTGGCAATATTTCATTTTTTGCATTTAATGACAGTTGATTTTCAGTTAGTAAAACGTCATTTATCATTTCAAAATGGGAAAAATGAACTGAATAATTCTGTAAACAATTTTCTCCTCGCGCTCGTACAGGAAGTGTAGAGAAATCCCTGCGTCCTTTAAGGAGTTCTTCAGCTGCTCTCAGGCTCTGACATCTGTCAGTCTGTCAGGAACCAAGCTGCCTCTGGAGGCTCTGAAGTAAGAACATTAGCTTCAACCTGATTTTTATTTACAGTTGCAGAATTATTCTACAAAAGATAAAACGTCTCAAAGAACGTTTTCATTGAAGTGTGATTGATGTGTGCAGATCGTTACTGTTGGGCCTCGGCTGCAACCCAAACCTGAGCGACGTGTCTCTGGACCTCAGCTCCTGTGAGGTTAGACCACCGTGGACTTAAACTGTCTTCAACACTTGCTTTAGAAAATGTTGACCTACATTTAGTAAAAGTTTTTTTTTTTTTTTTACTTTTTGTCTCAGCTGCGTTCAGGAGGATCTCAGATCCTGGAGGGTTGCATCGCTGAGATCCCCAACATTTCCAGTCTGGATATTTCAGACAACAGTGAGGACGTTTTCTTCTGTTCCGCCATGATTTGTTTATTTTTGACTCATTAGTTTTTGTGTGTTGCCTCCCTCAGGTTTGGATATGGACCTCACTACTCTTCTTGTCTGGCTGGCTAAGAACCGTTCCATCAGACACCTTTCATTGGGCAAGAACTTCAACAATATTAAATCTAAGTAAGTGGATATTTAGAAAAATAAACAATATTATGAAGTAGTCTGATACGTGGCTGTTGTTAACACATTTGTTCTCTGCAGAAATGTGGCTCAAGTTCTCGACAATCTGGTTCACATGATTCAAGAAGAGGAGTCAGTGAGTGATTTTATTACATTGTTATTATTATTATTATTATTATTTCTATTGATGGCCTCCCTTCTCCCCTTATAGCCATCCTCTCCACACCATTATTATAAAATGTATTTTTTTTCACAACCTGACAATCAGGTGTCAGGTTGTGAAACATGGAAGCTCTGTGTCCAGGTCTCTGCCCTGTTCCTTGGGAGTTCCACAGGGTAGCTTACTGGGCCCGTTGCTTTTCCTATTATACATAAATGACCTTCCAAAAATATTGAACTATTCAAATATTTTAATGTACAGTATGTTGATGATACTGTTCTTTTTTGTCTGATTTCAATATTGAATCTATTAATAGTCAGTTACAAGCAGATCTTCAGACATTTCATGGTTGGCTTCAAGATAATCTTTTGTCAATTAATGTTAAAAAAACTGTGTGCATGTATTGGTCCTCACCCAGGAGACATTTCAATATAACAAATCAACTCACTTTTTTAAACAAACCCCTTGATATTGTCACTACCTACAAATATCTTGGAATTACTTTGGATTCTCATTTGACTTATTGTGATCATGTACAAGTCTTAAGCACTACGTTGAAACAGAAATTATATGTTTATTCAAAAATTAGATCCAATCTGACATCTTCTGTTTCAAGTATCTACAGTATCTTCATGCCATTACACTCTCAACCATGTTGTACTGTTTACCTGTTTGGTCTCTTACAACAAATGAAATCTTAGAACCC